AACTCCATGACAATTATGAATTCAGTTAGTGCTAAAAAAAAAAGAGAATCATGATTTGACCAGGGCTCCTTTCCACTGAAAGTGCTGGTGTAGTGGCAGGCTTTTTTATTACCCAGAAACATGCATTAATCAACCACCCGAACCCACTTCACTTTATGACCTGCCCTTCTGAATCTGAGATTTATTCTTGTATTATCTTTTCGCGCTAATTTAGAGGTATATGAAGTGTGCAGCGGGCCTACTTCAGGAAGTCGTAACAAAACCAATATAGATATATTTTCTGGCGTTTGTAGGTAGTTTATTATAACTGCAACTTCTTCGAAAATATAATTGAATTTTTGGGGATTTTCTTTTTTGCTGATAGACAATAGGCGCTTTTACACCAAGTACTTTTCCCAGGAATAGTTCCCGGAACTTAGTTCCCCAGAACTTTTATTTCCTGGAACTATCTAGTAAATCGCGTTCACACCGGAATAAGTCCCTGAGGGAGCCGCTGACGTCACTTCTTCTTCTGCTTTGGGTTTACTGGCAGGCCGCAAACAACTTCACAGCGTACTGTATACTGACAGTTGGGGACTGGCTTCAGTAGAAGCTGCTGTGAGTCTTCCCAGCAGCTTCTACTGAAGCCTTCCGAGTAAATTCGCCAGAACGCCGACACCTCCTCATCACTACACCGCTCCCATGTTTTCTTTTGTGTTGCCATAAGTTAGTCTCTCTCCGTTGGTGCGCTGGGCTAATGCTAATGCTAATAATGGCGGCTTCACAAAAACGTTTCAGATTTTTACGGGCCGTGGTTTGCAATTCGCCCAGCCAATCAGAAATGGGAACCTTTTTCTCCTAAGGAAAGTCCCTGCTCTCTAGCAGGGACTGAAAAGGGGTGAAAAGGTTAGCAAAAAAAAGTTCTAGTTCCAGATTTTTTTGGTGTGAACGCAAAATCCCAGGAACTATCGGAACTATTCCTGGGAAAAGTACTCCGGTGTGAAAGCGCCTAACGTAGGTAAGGGGTTTGTCTAAACCGGGTAACAGGGGCACTGCGCCTTCTTACATTCGGCGTGTGCCCTCATACCAAAATGCCAATTTTCCCCATAATATTTTAAAGTGATGCCAGAAAACAATAGTTCTTCAAAAACTATAATTACTCGAAAAATATGAAAATCGTGTCAAATAGACCGTCAGACAACGTTGACAGCTTTGTTTTTAGATCCGTCCATCTATGAATCCTAACGTCTCATTAGCAAAATAATGCAGCCTTCCACCTTTACATCCCTCCATCCACAATTGGGGATGATAGCCTTGAGTGACAAACATCATCCGATTTACATGAATGTGTCGTCCACACTTGATTTAGAGCAAATGTTTGTTAAGGGTGTGTTCTCTAGCACAACATAGTGGACAAAGTCCGTTGTACATGATACCTAACATTTAATTTCCAGCTTATCACATGCAAGCAGAAATGTACAATACCAAGTCTCGGTCACTGTTGTCAAAAAAGCGTTCCTTCTGTCCCCCTGACACGCGTGAAAGTACCAGAACCCGTTCATCACTGCTTGCAGCTTTAATGTGAGTTTGTGTTATTGTTCCTCATACTAACCCTTACAGGTGACCCAATAAAATAAGGAACAATATTTGATGTCATTAAAATATGTTTTTGTACTTAATCTGTCAACGTTGATCCACGCTCGCAATTAAATTAAAGTGGACCTATCATGCTATATTTGAAATATATATATTGTAGGGCCATACCTATATAAAACATGTCTGTGAAGTTTTTTTTTCAAAATCCCAAACAGATCCCCCATTGTAGCCATGCCTCATACTGCTCAAACCCCTCTTTTGAAGCCCTGTTAGAGAAACTCAGATTTTGGGTCCTTAGCTTGAAAAAAAGAAAGAAGAGGAGGCGGAGCTAATGCCTGATCAGAATTCCACCGGAGATAAAGTTACATTTGGTTGTGATAAAACGCCATCCTGTTTAAACCACGTCAAGGATTATTTCTGAAACAGTATGGAGCTCAAATGCTTTTTCTCTTGCGGGTTTATCACAAGGTGAGTTCCTTTTAATATTTCCTGCTTTTTTAAACACATGTGCTCTACAGTACAGGTTAGCTCTGAGTGTTAGCGAGGCTTGCTAATGTAAACAAAGACGAGATTACGTCCAAAACACGTCAGGCATTGTTTCTGATAGCAACTTTCTGTGGGTCCGCCGCCGATTTGACGTCAAATCGACGGCAAATCTGTATCCGCTAGTTGTACCCCCATTTTTAAAAGATTTGGGTACGGAGGAAAAGAGAGAGGGTTTTATTTTCTGACGCTGCGTGAGTTCCCCGACGCACAGGGGACACATATTTAGGTATAAAAGACATAACAAAGTGCATTTTGCATGATATGTCCCCTTTAAGTAAAAAATGTCACCCAAATTAATCGCATTACCAAGTTTGCCCAACTTTCACCCCTATTTCCAGAGAATCTTTATCCCATGATTCGCATGGCAGTGAAGCAACACAGGCTACGTGTTTTGCTATCACTGGAGAACAGTAGTTACATTGTAAAGTGTAAAGTGACTACATTTCCTGTTAATCGATTGAAAGCACACATGTTTACCAATAGCACAATTTAAAGGTCCCCTATTATACTGTTTTTCATCAATATATTATAGTTCTCAGTTATATACAAAACATGTCTCTGAAGTGTTTGGCTCGAAATACCAAACAGATCGTGCATTGTAGCATCCCATAATCCCCTCTGTTTCAGCCCTGTTTCAAAAGTGCTGATTCTCTGTCTGTTACTTTAGATGAAAATAAGGAGCCACTCCCCACGCCCCTCTGAGAGATATTTGGTTAAAAATAACACAATGGTGCTCTAGGAGGAGATTCAGGTGATAAGGTGGAGGGTGTTACCTTGGTTGGTTATTGGCTAATGGTTACACAAGCCAAAAAATCGTTATGACTTCATAAAGTGGCCAAAATCTGATCAGCTCATTTTCAGACAGGTTTTTATGTATCAGGACAAAAAGTGAGCGAATACTTTTTCCTGAAACTTTCAGAATCTCTTTACACAGAGGGGACACATGTTTATGTATAAAATACATGAAAAAGTGGATTTTGCATAATAGGTGACCTTTAAGATGAATAGTTTTGCGAGATGGAGGGGTAGATCATGGCACGTGGTGGATGTGGCGAGTTGGTGGGGGTGAAGATAAAAAGATACTTATAGATACATTTGCACACACAAGACCAAAGATGCCCCCCCTCTGTCTCCTGGTTATATGAGTGTGACACGATGAGCAGCTAAGAGAGATAATAGCATCTTTGTGAGAGCATATGCTTGAGGAGATAAACACAAATAAGAAATAGGGCAAATGTGAAAAGAGAAGAAAATAATTAAGAAAGTCGCCCTCGAGCCTGTTCCTGTGGTTCTGTAGTCTCTGACACCTCAGGAAGAGGAGAGGGAGGGTGGGGGGGCTGTGTCAGTTGACTGTGGTGCAAAACAATCAGCGCAGAGGTACAATCAGCTCTTTGACTCAGGGTTTACCAACACTTAGTCTAGACCAGAGCAGGGACTGAGATATTTAGAGTGATAATTTAAACTGATGGCCCACATTCTTGGGTGTAGGCTAATGTTAGTGGATCTATTTGTGCAATGGTCTGCAATGTTACTGAAGAAATTATTGGGAATAAAAAACAAGTTACTAATAACTACAGTTACTAACCGGAGCCAATACTTTTAGTTAAACACGGATATCAGAATTTGAGGGTAATGGTGACACTGTATCTAAATCAAGTAAGAGTTTAAAGTATGACAGCCGAAATAAACATCTCTATAAAAGTACATTTATCAGGAATAATTTCCATTCATTAAAAGAAATGTAGAAATAAAACACGTAAGACACTAGACACTTATTGCCAAGATGAATACTACTTTTGAAAACCCTTTCAGCTATAGCACTCACAAACAAACTCATCCACATGAACATGCATGAACCAACTAACACACTTCCCTCAAGAGCACTCGTGTAGAGGGAGACAGATGCAATCATTGTCCACCAGATACCATGAATTACTGCTCCAGTTCCCTTGACACAAGACACTCACAAGGCACAGCACTTCAAAGAACCAAATGAAAATCAAATAGGCTATATCCCAGTTGGCTTAAAAAAAAGAAAGAAAACTAGGGCTGTTTTCCTATACACTGTACACATGTGATGTGATATTTGAGTGCAGTTTTGTTTAGATAGGCGGTCAAAACATAGAGAGAACAGTAAGAAAATGAATGTGATACAAAGTTCAGACGCACATATGATGAGTGTCATAAGTAGCACAACTTCCCTCTAAAGACATAATCAATTATAAATGCTAATAATATATTGTAACACTGAAGAAGTGACACTGCAACCAACTTCATTAAGGCTCATAAATACAATCGGCCAATTACCCAATCCAGGCATTGCTTGCAAAAGTATGAAAAAAATACGTCATTTAAATATTCTTCCAGACATTGCTTTCACTGACTTTTCTCTGTGCCATGTTTGTCTCACTCACAGGAAGTGAGTAGCGTGAAGACAGACAGGAAGTTTTGTTTACTTCATAGATGAAATGTGGGTCAATATAAACATACAAGTCTCAACCCTAACCTCATCTCCTATTTCTCCATTTTCACATACAAAATCTCAGTAGACCATACTCAAAATGTATTAAAAAAAGACATGTCATGGTGATGAACTTATATGATGACCTTATACTGTTGCTATGGTCCCTTTTAACACAGCAATAAAGTGAGTTCAGTACATTTTCTATAGAACAGCTGCGGACCCCCGACCAAGGCTTTGAGAACAACCTCAGGGGCAGCAGAGCCCCAGTACATCCCCTGGTGGGGGTTACAAAGAATGGGCTCACACACTTACACTCTCACACACACACAAACACACAGGCAAAGACAAAGTGGACTGATTCTGCATTTAGTTGTGGAGAAACAGTTTCCAATCGAAATAGGGATGTTTGTCCTACCTTATTCTGAAGCAGCCACAGGTTTTGTAAGGTTTTTGTTGATTGCTGCGCTGTCTTAAAAGAAAGAAAATTAGACATGTTAGCAGCATCTTAGTTAACACCATCAAAGCATTACCTCTGCTCTAAAATCTATGAATGAAGCAAATCTAAGTTAAAGCAGGGAATATCTAAAAATAATACATGAATAAGGTCATTTTGTTACTTATATGTCTGTACTTATGACGGTAAACAATTTCCTTAGCACACACAGGCTTATTTATGCCTGTTTAAACTGTATTTGGCACATTCCCTCTCAGCTAGGAATACGTGTCAGACCAACCAAGGAAGGAAGGAAAGTGCGGCATCTCAACATGATTAGGTATTCATAACCAGACAAGCCAAATCAGAGGTAATAGGGAAGACATCATTGCAGCGAGTGAAGGAAAATGGAGAGAGAGGAGAGGGATAAACTGTGATGGGAGGGAGACAAAACCTTTGACTCAGAGCTCATTTGATTGCAGTGAACAAGCTCTTTCTCCATCTACTTAAACGTACACTTTTTTACCCCCAACTGTTGCTATGACTCCTCCAAACATTAAATCACTTGTAATGTGAATTAGCTCATGCATGGACCAGACACACACACATACAGGTTTCCCTTCTCTGCTCCCCATCAGAGGGTGAAATTACATGATATTTCTGATCCTGTCAAGAGCTTAAAAACATTATATTTGACTGGGCTTTCGATTTCTCTTGTTTTTGCCGTTTTGTCCTTTTTGCCAAACCTCAACCCACAAATCAAGTGGGTGTTTAAATAAATGTCCTGTCAAAAGTGGAATATAATTCCAAGCGATGCAGTCTAGGTAAATTTAAATTATTTGAGATTTTGTTACCTCTGAATCATCTGAATGACCTCTGAACTAGGGCAACTATTGCCAACCTAGGAGATGAATGAAGAATGCCAATGGCCATGCCAAATTACTTATTTACTGAATGTAAAATGTTTTAGGAATTTTATAAATACATTAATAATCAACCAAATTCTGCTTTGGATTTTTTGCTCAATCATTCAAATAGGACACATGTTGTGTTGTGAGGAAAGTGATGGAACTGCTGCAGTTCAGACTATGAGATACAAATTCAGTTTACGAATTAAAGAAAATGTGTTGTCACTAGTTACATGTCTGGTTTTTTCACTCTGGGAGAATTTGCGTTGCATTGTGTATTCAAATCAGACATTATCTGTACGACCATGAAACTATCAATTCTACACTTCAAAAGTTTGCTAAAGACATCTTTGTTGTCAATAACATGTTTGAGGTAGCAAAACTATCTTGGGTCAGCTGGGAATTCCCATCAGCTTATTAGTGCGAATGCTGTGCCACAGCATTCCACTATAGTACTTCAAATCTTTATTAGTGCGAATGCTGTGCCACAGCATTCCACTATAGTACTTCAAATCTTTATTCTTTCCGCTTAAAATTATTATTTCAGCCAATACTTTGGCTCTCCATAACTTCAGCTTACTTTCAGCTACAGAAACCATTCAAATATCAAACTATTCAGCCTGTTCAGGAATCGATGGGAAACCTTCAACTTTGTAAAAATATTTTATACTTTTTGAAATATTCAGCTTTTTAAACTCTTTTTTTAACATGGAAGTCAATGGGAGATGCCTTCAAATCCTCTTTTCCTACACCTTGCGCCAAATGCTACTCCTTCCACATACTTTCAGCTAGACACTTCATTCCAACTTTCAAATGATCACAACACCTTCAGCTATTCAAACTTGACTTTTATTTTTGTTATCTTTTACGGTTTTTGACTTATCAATGTTTAAGTTTTGGTAAATGTACAGGCTGTTTTAGATTTTAGAGTGCGTGACATCATCACTTAGAGTGTAGAGGGTCTTAAAAATCTTCGGAAAAAATATTTTAAAACTGCTCTCAGAGCCAAAATATACAATCTATTCAAATAATTTCAAAAGATTTCAGGAGCATTATTAGTCTGGCCTGCTCAATTGCCTTCATCATATCAAACGGACACACCGTTCTGGCCCAATAGTGATCAGAGTGACAAAAAGTCCACCTAGCTCCCAATAGACTCCCATGTTAAATTTGACCGGAACTTTCTTCAGAACAGAGAGAAGTACACTTTAGACAAACTGCTCCCATCTCCACATTTTACACACAAAACCAAAAGAAACAACATATATCAGTTCATTGGGGTTCCCTGATGCTCACGGTCTGGTCATTTTTGTATAGGAGCCATAGTTTTTGAACAGGTGGCAAAATTGTCAGATATACTCCGCAATGCATTCTTAATGGGACTCAGTGCTGCAGTTGGTTGTCATGGTGTTGATGGGCAGATTGGAGCCACACACACACCTGAGTGACATCATCTAATCAAAACAGACACCATGGAAACCTTTGATCTCTGGACACACACACAGGTGTTATGATTGGGTGTTATGAGTAGGTGCTCAGGAACAGAAACAAACACTGACAGACTGGACTTTAACAGACTGTCTTAGCCTATTATTTTCTGTCTGATGGAGACTTCATACTGACTTCAACAGGTTCCACATATTTTATACATTATTGGTGACATATGGTTTTAGTCGAAAACTTTGCAGTCAATATATTCTGCTGCTTTCCCAAGCCTTTTTACTTTCTTTTCTCTTCTTAATACAAATTCATTCACTGCTACTTACATCTGATATTTAACTCCTTCAGCCTATTTTCAGCTGCAGAAACCATTCAACTATTACATTATTCAGCTATTTCAGGACATCAAGGCTATACATGTTGTTTATACCTTTTTTTAAACCTTTTCTTTTAAATATCAAGCTTTTTCTGAATTTTTGTAGCTAAAAGCAGCTACCATTCAGCTAATAACATATTCAGCTTTTTCTGCATTTTCAGCTAAATTCAGCCACAAATGTTCACAGTTTACAGCACGCATTTTCTGCAGGAAATGCATTTTCTAGTTGCTATTGACAAGCTAATGAAATGGTCATAACACGATAAACTCCAGCTTTATTGTCAACACAACATACAAGCCTATTAACAACTTTGTATATATAAATAGGAAATGCATGGTTGAGAAACACTTCCTGTTATTGTTTTTATTTTTGTTCGACAATACTCCAAATGTTTGTAGAGTATGTAGACAGGCTGTGATATCTCAAATTTGTGAGAAACAATCTCCTTGAAGCAGCAGCACAACCCAGCAGAGAGAAAGCTTATCTCAAGGATTTACACTGCAAGTAATTCTGGACACAGGAAGTAAATGTATATCTAAAGATTTATGGGTCCAGGACGGAAATAAAATGATAATATCCTTGCATTGCAGTCCATACATATGGCAGCAAGAGAGCCGAAAGCAACTCATGTGAAATATATCTTCACCTCTTCCATTAAGCAATTTAATTAAATCCATGCTGTAATTAACTTATTTCTGTGTTCCATGGAAAAACATGAAAGCTCCAATAAAAATGATCATCAGTGTTGTGGTTCTCCGTAATAAAGTAAACTGTATCTGCAGTGGTAAGTTTGCAGCCATTTCAAAGCTCTGTACAGATACATGTTTGTAGGTGTGCTGATTCATTTTGGTTGATGAACATCAACTCAGTCCCAAATAGAAGTAACTTGACCCCTGACTGGGATATTTTGAGAAAAAAGAAAATAGCTTGACTGTAGAAAGCAGAGGTTGACACCGCTCGTATTTAGACTTACCTGAGTGCATCTGAACTCTGTGTAGTTAGTTAGAGGGAATTTAAGTAACCCTAATAAAATAAATCTTTATGGTAACAAGCGCGATTTAAGTAGTACATGGATTAATAGTTAAAGCCAGCTTGTTGGTACTCTGATGGTTAAGGTTGTCTCCAGAGAGACACCATCTGCTTTAACCTTGACCTCTGAGAACTGATGCATTTCTGTTATTGAATTTAATTAGCTGCATCCAATTTTTGTTCTGTGTGTATGTCATACAACACAACAAGCCACCTGCTGTGATTTGAAACTGGTTAAAATACTGTCCAGAACAATGAAAGTAGTGCTTTGCCATGCTTTTCGTACACAGCTTATTTTTCGACATTGCATGGTGGAGCAGTATGAAAGAATTAGGGATGCTCCGATCGATCGGTCACCGATCGAGATCTGCCGATACTCACTCTCTACCGATCGATCGGTGCTCTCTAAACATGCCGATCGCGAGGGCCGATCGCATGACGTAAAATACATGACACTTTTCTCTGTACGCGGCAAAACAAGCTCGCCAAAATGGCTTCACCGGTCTGGCATTATTTTAAGGTGTCCGAAAAAGACAGTAAAATAGCGGTATGCAACGTGTGTGTGAAGCAGAAATCCTGCAGCTCCACCCGCTGTGATGGGCGGTGTGAGCGGAGCGAAACACACAAGAGTTAGACCTAACACACTTAGCTATTTTATCTACCTCTGGAACAAGCTAAACTAGTTATAAATATGTTTATTCTTCACTGTCGGCCTCACACATTACTGGATCAGCGAGCTGCATGAGACGATACTGACGGGCTGTCAGGAGAGGGAGAGAGGGGGAGAGAGAGGGGGAGAGAGAGAGGGAGAGAGAGGAAAAGAGAGCGCTTGCTAATTTCTCCCGTGGTATTATCCAAAGTGAATGTAAACTTGAATAATATACATAATTTGAATGTAATAATTAAGTTGATTGTTTGTGGAAGCTCCAGTGAATGAGCCCCATTAACTGAGTTTTAAACATCACTTTAAATGGAAGATTTAAAGTGATGTTTAAATCTTCCATTTAGGCCCCGCCCACTCGATCGGATCGGCAGATACTGATTCCGGCGATCGATCGATCGATCGATCGATAGATCGATAGATAGATAGATAGATAGATAGATAGAAGCACACATTGTCTCACAAGCAAAAAAAAACTCCTTAAAACAACAGTCAAGTGTACAGTCCACTGTCCATACAAAGACCCAGATGCCTCAACAGGCCATATCCAAATCTGTACAGTATTTCAAAGATTTCGAGCAAGGAACACCAACATGTTTACATTGTCGGGCAAATGCATCT